CTGTAGTACACTGTCATGATATCCAATACTCTGACATACCAACTGTAGTATACTGTCATGACACCCAGTAATCCAACATACACAGCTGTAGTACACTGTCATGATATCCAGTACTCCAACATACACAGTTATAGTACACTGTCATGACACCCAGTAGTCTGCCATACCCGTCTGTTGTACACTGCCATGAAACCTAGTACTCTGACATACACAGATGTAATACACTGCCATGACACCCAGTACACTGACATACACAGATGTAATACTCTGTCATGAAACCTACTACTCTGACATACACAGATGTAATACACTGCCATGACACCAAGTACTCTGACATACACAGATGTAATACACTGCCATGACAACCAGTACTCTGACATACACAGATGTAAGACACTGCCATGACACCCAGTACTCTGACATACACAGATGTGATACACTGCCATGAAACCTAGTACTCTGACATACACAGATGTGATACATTGCCATAAAACCTAGTACTCTGACATACCAACTGTAGTATACTGTCATGACACCCAGTAATCCAACATACACAGCTGTAATACACTGTCATGAAACCTAGTAATCTGACATACACGGATGTAATAAACTGCCATGGCACCCAGTACTTTGACATACACAGATGTAATACACCGTCATGACACCCAGTACTCTGACATACACAGATGTGATACACTGCCATGACACCCAGTACTCTGACATACACAGCTGTAGTACACTGCCATGACACCCAGTACTCTGACATACCCAGCTGTAGTACACTGCCATGACACCCAGTACTCTGACATACAGAGCTGTAATACACTGTCATGAAACCTAGTACTCTGACATACACAGATGTAATAAACTGCCATGGCACCCAGTACTTTGACATACACAGATGTAATACACCGTCATGACAACCAGTACTCTGACATACACAGATGTGATACACTGTCATGACAACTAGTACTCTGACATACACATATGTGATACATTGCCATAAAACCTAGTACTCTGACATACACAGATGTGATAGACTGCCATGACACCCAGTACTCTGACATACATAGCTGTAGTACACTGTCAGGACAACCAGTACTCAAACATACACAGCTGTAGTACACTGTCATGAAACCCAATACTCCAAAATACACAGTTGTAGTACACTGTCAAACACCCAGTACTCTGACATACACAGCTGTAGTACACTGTCATGACAACCAATACTCAAACATACACAGCTCTAACACACTGCCATGACACCCAGTACTCCATCATACACAGCTGTAGTACACTGTCATGAAGCCCATTACTACAACATACACAGCTGTAGTACACTGTCAATACAACCAGTACTCCAACAAACACAGCTGTAATACACTGCTATGACACCCAGTACTCTGACATACACAGCTGTAGTACACTGTCATGACAACCAGTACTCTGACATACACCGCTGCAATACACTGCCATGACATCCAGTACTCAAACATACACAGCTGTAGTACACTGTCATGAGAACCAGTACTCCTACATACACGGCTTTAGTACACTGTCATGATATTCAATACTCTGACATACCAACTTTTGTTTACTGTCATGACACCCAGTACTCCAACATACACAGCTGTAGTACACTGTCATGACAATCAGTACTCCTACATACACGGCTGTAGTACACTGTCATGATATCCAATACTCTGACATACCAACTGTAGTATACTGTCATGACACCCAGTAATCCAACATACACAGCGGTTGTACACTGTCATGAAACCTAGTACTCTGACATACACAGATGTAATAAACTGCCATGGCACCCAGTACTTTGACATACACAGATGTAATACACCGTCATGACACCCAGTACTCTGACATACACAGATGTAGTACACTGTCATGACACCCAGTACTCTGACATACCAAGCTGTAATACACTGCCATGACACACAGTACTCTGACATACACAGATATAATACACTGTCATGACACCCAGTAGTCTGACATGCACAGATGTAATACACTGCCATGACACCCAGTACTCTGACATACACAGATGTAATACACTGTCATGAAACCCACTACTCCAAAAATACACAACTGTAGTACACTGTCACGATATCCAGTACTCCAACATATACAGCTATAGTACACTGTCATGACACCCAGTATTCTGACATATCCAGCTGTGGCACACTGTCATGACACCAAGGCATACCATGTCATGATAGATATTACTCTGACATACCATCCTGTTGTACATTTTCATGATAGGTAGTACTCTGACGTACCAACATGTTGTACATTGTCATGGAAGATAGTACTTTGACATACCATCCTGTTGTATATTGCCATGATAGATATTACTCTGACATACCACCCTGTTGTACATTGTCATGGAAGATATTACTCTGACATACCACCCGGTTCTACATTGTCATGGAAGATATTACTCTGACATACCACCCTGTTGTACATTGTCATGGAAGATATTACTTTGACATACCATCCTGTTGTACATTGCCATGATAGATATTACTCTGACATACGAACCTGTTGTGCATTGTCAGGGAATATAGTACTCTGACATACTACCCTGTTGTACATTGTCATGATAGATAGTACTGGGGCATAGCAACCTGTCGTACATTGTCATGGAAGATAGTACTCTGACACACAAACCTGTTGTACATTGTCATGGAAGATAGTACTTTGACATACCAACCTGTTGTACATTGTCATGGAAGATAGTACTCTGACATACCACCCTGTTGTACATTGTCATGGAAGATATTACTCTGAGATACCACACTGTTCTACATTGCCATGATAGGTAGTACTCTGACGTACCAACCTGTTGTACATTGTCATGGAAGATAGTACTCTGACATACCAACCTGCTGTACATTGTCATGGAAGATATTACTCTGAGATACCACACTGTTCTACATTGCCATGATAGGTAGTACTCTGACGTACCAACCTGTTGTACATTGCAATGGAAGATAGTCCTCTGACATACTAACGTGTTGTACATTGTCATGGAAGATAGTACTCTGACAAACCATCCTGTTGTACATTGCCATGATAGATAGTACTCTGGCATACCATCCTGTTGTATATTGTCATGGAAGATAGTCCTCTGACATACCACCCTGTTGTACATTGTCCTGGAAGATATTACTCTGAGATACCACACTGTTGTACATTGTCATGGTAGAAAATACTCTGACATACCACACTGTTGTACATTGTCATGGTACATAGTACTCTGACATACCACCCTGTTGTACATTGTCATGGAAGATATTACTCTGACATACCAACCTGTTGTACATTGCCATGATAGGTAGTACTCTGACATACCCCTCTGTTGTACATTGTCATGGAAGATATTACTCTGACATACCAACCTGTTGTACATTGCCATGATAGGTAGTACTCTGACATACCACCATGTTGTACATTGTCATGGAAGATATTACTCTGACATACCACCCTGTTGTACATTGCCATGATCGGTAGTACTCTGACATACCCCCCTGTTATACATTGTCATGGAAGATAGTACTCTGACATACTAACCTGTTGTACATTGCCATGATAGGTAGTACTCTGACGTACTAACCTGTTGTTCATTGTCATGGAAGATAGTACTCTGACATACAACCTGTTGTACATTGCCATGATAGGTACTACTCAGATATACCACCCTGTTGTACATTGTCATGGAAGATATTCCTCTGACATACCACCCTGTTGTACATTGCCATGATAGGTAGTACTCTGACGTACCACCCTGTTGTACATTGCCGTGATAGGTAGTACTCTGACATAGCACCCTGTTGTACATTGTCATGGAAGATATTACTCTGACATACCACCCTGTTGTACCTTGCAGTGATAGGTAGTACTCTATGACGTACCACCCTGTTGTACATTGCCGTGATAGGTAGTACTCTGACATACCACCCTGTTGTACATTGTCATGGAAGATATTACTCTGACATACCACCCTGTTGTACATTGCCATGATAGGTAGTACTCTGACATACCACCCTGTTGTACATTGTCATGGAAGATATTACTCTGACGTACCAACCTTTTGTACATTGTCATGGTAGATAGTCCTCTGACATACCACCCTGTTGTACATTGTCATGGTAGAAAATACTCTGACATACCAACCTGTTGTACATTGTCATGGAAGATAGTACTCTGACATACCATCCTGTTGTAGATTGTCATGGTAGATAAAACTCATACATACCAACCTGTTGTACATTGCCATGATACATAGTACTCTGACATACCACCCTGTTATGCATTGTCATGGAAGATAGTACTATGACATACCAACCTGTTGTACATTGTCATGGAAGAGAGTACTCTGACACACTACCCTGTTGTACATTGGCATGATAGATAGTACTCTGGCATACCAACCCTTTGCACATTGTCAGCGTAGATATTACTCTGACATACCAACCTGTCGTACATTGTCGTGGAAGATAGTATTCTGACATACCACCCTGTTGTACATTGTCATGATGGATAGTACTCTGACATACCAACCTGATGTATATTGCAATGGTAGATAGTACTCTGGCATACCAACCTGTTGTACATTGCCATGGAAGATAGTCCTCTGACATACCAACCTGTTGTACATTGTCATGGAAGATAGTACTCTGACATACCAACCTGTTGTACATTGCCATGGAAGATAGTCCTCTGACATACTAACGTGTTGTACATTGTCATGGAAGATAGTACTCTGACATACCATCCTGTTGTACATTGCCATGATAGATAGTACTCTGGCATACCACCCTGTTGTACATTGCCATGGAAGATAGTCCTCTGACATACCAACGTGTTGTACATTGTCATGGAAGATAGTACTCTGACATACCAACCTGTCCTTCATTTTTATGGAAGATAGTACTCTGACACACCACCCTGTTGCACATTGTCATGAAAGATGGCATACGCACCTGTAGTAAACAATCTTTATATCATCATCTGTTGCCTTACAGTCAAACCAGACGGAACTGTTAAGTCCAACAACGACATCACTCGGCTCCCTCGTGAACTGAAATGCTGGTAGAAAACGTTAAAATGTTTAAACAAAACAAAGCAGAAAGTTGATCATAAATGAGTACCAAACAGAGTAAAATTAATTGATATGTGTGAAAGAATAGCACTTTGAAAGGCAGATAGGTGTACATGACACTTACCAATTGCTGCATGCAACAGACATGCAAGGACAACGCCTCCACGGGAATACATGGCTGATGAAAGAATGTGATGATGGTGGTCATCCACACCGAAGTCATTCAATGTTGATCTTCTGTAAGATGGCCAAAAATACAAGAATGCGTCATGAAGCTACAACATATGCACATAGTAATGTAAAGCCATGTCATTAAGGATCTACATTGTTCACGCTGGGCTTGCAGCAGGAAAACGTATTTCCTTCCTTATTATACATAACTGCAATAGTAAACTTTAATAAAGGGATAAAGGCAGGACAATATTTGTATACAGCGAACTGTTAAAAAGTATCATTAAAAAATCATAAAAAAGACTAATATTGGTTGGTATGAAAGTTATCCGGGCCCTGTTCCAGCGTCTGATATTCGGAATGGTGTATATGACAACAGTCATTCCGTATCTTACGCCCTTTTCTCGATTTGCTGCTCACACATTTTGAGATTTTATCGGCTGGATTTAAAATGATATGTATTTTAGATTTATGTTGAACAGACAGGCTCCCACACCAGCAGTAGTTATAACATAAAATGCTTTGAATAAAGGTTCTATAAAAGAGAGAGTAAAGAATTATCTAGTTTAAAATACCTAACGGACGTCGTAAGAAATACAATCCCTTTTGATACTTTTCATAAATATGTTCCGTTTTGGCATTCTAAGTGAGTTTCGAATCATTACAGTGCTAAGACGACTATAGATTACTAGCGTTTTACAATCCGAAAAACTATTTCGGAACAAATCTTTCTTTACTGAAGTCTGTAGTGTCAAAACCGCCTCCGTGGTCTAGTGGTGGGGCGTCCGCCCTGAGAGCAAAAGGCTTCGATCCCCTGCCGCGTTATACTAAAAGACGTCAAAAGATGATACGTGATGTTACCCCGTCTGGCGCTCAGCATTAAGGGGTCGGCTCGGAGTCGAGTAGTCATGTTAAACTGCATGCGGCATTTTATCTCAGTGAGCTGGCACTATAAATCTACCTCTACCCCCCTATCTCACACATGTGCATGCACAACGCTATATAAGTGCAATAAATCTTGGAAGCGACGTTAAAGCCAATTTCACCTCCCCAGTACAAAAAGCTCTTTTCTTTTCATTTAGAGCTACTGTTCAAGTAATGTCTATACGCCTTGGAAATGTTAAATGACAAAGAATTACAACATGTCACCATTAATATCAGCTGTACCAGCAATGATCTGACAAGGTGTTCCATCGTAAGGACAAGACCGTTCATGTTTGAGTTGACGTCAGAACTCACCACTCATGCATTCTCCAAAATGCAGTATGTTCAGACATCAAAAGTGTTTTTCTTTTTACATCCGCTGTTTTTCTATGATTAATCATTTACTGTGAACATGGCACGAAGCAGGATATCAAGCGTGCAAATTAAAGATTGCTTTTCGATATGCGATCCACAGGGCTGTCCTTCAAAGCTATCAGGCGTCAACTGGGCCACCATTACACAGTGGTAAGCCGATCGGTGAGACATTATGGTGCAACCAATGTCGTGAAGAGCCTTCCACGGTCAGGACGACCTCATGTGACGTCACAGCGTAAAGACCGGGCACTGATTCGATTGGTACGACGACAGCTGTTTGCAAAATGTCCCGTCATGAAGCGACAATGGCTACCAATCGACATCTGTCCACAAAAACCGTGAGGAACTGCCTGGCAGGAGAAGGGATGGCTGTCCGGGAGTGTCACTAAACGCCCCCCTACAAACAGATCTTAGACACTCCTAGCCATAAATATCGGTTCCGGAAGTTTCGTCAATAATTTCAGGAGTACAATTAGAATGAGTGACAACTTCCAATCCACCTGTCTTCTCTCAGAGAAAGATGGAATTAACCGACAAGGAGATAAATTCTCTGTTTGAAAAAGGGGTGGTATCCCGGTCATCTTTCAGATCGGTCATCAATTTGAATCCACATCTGGCATACAATCATTTCAATATGCAGGTCTTTCTATGATCACAGATATGTTTCCGAGAGGAGATTTCATGTGCAAACTGAATCTGAAGGATGTTTACTTCTAAGTTCCAGTGCACTTTTAAGGGAGCAAATAATCCTAAAATTTCTTTTAGTAATTTATACAAAGCCCCAGGTGTTTCACTCAGGTAATGAAAGCTCATCAAAAGGAGAGATCTGAAGCTGATAATCTATTAAGACGACTTTGGCTCTGTTGAACACAGCTATCTTAGCGCAAAGGCGATCGTAGCTCTGATACTTTAACACAGGCTACGATAGTCATAGAACTAAAATCGCTTTGCGCAACGGGGCCCTGAGTGTTTAAATGGTCTTAAGTCCGAGAAAGTTCTCAGTTATACCAAACGCTACTCTTAAATCTAAGAAGTCATAATCATAAAAAATTAGTGAGTGAGTGAATATGGTTTTACGCAATATTCCAACATTGTACCCATGTGGGGAACCGAACCCGTCTCTTCGTTGTGACGAGCGAACGCTTTAACCGCTGGGCTACCCCACCGCCCGCCCTGAAGATAAGAGTTCTCAAGAGGACTTTTAGTGACATAAGAATTTTATTAACCCTTCAGAATGGCCGCCATTCACAGAAAGGGATAGGCTACCTGGGAACTTTCAGGGACTACATGGTGGTATTTGAAGTCAATACAATAATAAGGCAGCAGTAAACATTTCGTCTCTGAGATATGAGTAGGGTTACAGTCAATCAAGAAGTGTGTTTCATCTTCAAAACCAGGTGATGTTTTATTGTTGCAATATATACAGATTCCCTCTTGAAGGGGGATAAGTGGCTTGGCGAAATGGTCTGTTTCTATTGATAATGGAAGAGATAGACACCTCAATTTAGCTAAATGGTGTAAATCCAGGTTATACAGGTAAATGTATCACAATGTATCAACTGGATGTCAACGGATTTATGTGCAATGTGAAATTCATTGGAGCTTTGTTCTGTATTACTTGAATGTGTCTATTTTAACTGAACATACTGATTTATGCCCCAAATACCAACACCATCGCATAAAACAGGTTCAACCAAAGAACTGTTCAGCTTTGTGTAGATATCATATGACATACCACCCGCACTGGTAAATTTAGAATACAATGCGGGTACGTCTCTGCTGTTCGCTGTTTTCTTCATGTCTAAATGTTCATTGAGCATTATTCCTAAGTATCCGTAAGCGACCGTCACACACAGGTTCATTTGCCGGCAGATGAACGATACTTAGGTTGCTTTTGTAGAGTGCGTCCTACAGTGAACAACCTTTGTTTTATCTGCATTTACTTAAAATCTCCACTTTTGACAACATATATCTAGTACATCTAGCATTTGCTGTAGGCATGTTTCATCGGGTGCTATTCATCAGCATACAAAAGAATGGATACCACAGGCATGCCGAATCGGACGCCCTTCTGCAGCATGTTGATTTCTTTAGCTAGATAATTTCCGCCCCTGTTTTGCACCATGTGATACTGGAGATGGATCTGTGTATAAAGTGTTTGAGTAAAGCTTCCCAAATTTTCCCATGAATTCACATCTTCGTTAATTTGAACCATAGGCATTGTCTGTTAACAGTATCAGGCGCTTTTCTCATGTTGACGAAGCAAATAATAATAATAATAGTAATAATAATAAAGTCCATTTCTTCAGCGCCATTTCCGTCTACGTAGTCGCTCATAGCGCATCACACAGAGTCATAGACACATCTAAAGAGATAAGTCTTTAGTTTTGTCTTGAAAGTGTCCAGAGTTGGATATTGCCTAATTTCCACTGGAAGGGAATTCCAGAGCACAGATGCAGTGTGAGCAAAAGTTCTGTTTGCCGAATGCTTTGAGTGAGACCATAGGGACACTAAACTGGAGTTTATGTGCAGATCTGAGATCTCGTGCTGTAGGGTAAGAAGTTCACTCAGATAGGAAGGTGCTGTACTATAGTAGCACTGGTATGCAATGCACACGACTTTGTATTCAATCCTAGATCTTATTGGAAGCCAGTGTAATGATTTTAATAAAGGAGTGACATGTGCACGCTTATTTCGTCTACTTATCAATCTGTAAGCAGCATTCTGCACACGTTGCAATTTGCTAAATAGATCCTGTTTGATATATATAAGCAGACTGTTAGCATAGTCCAACCTTGATAGGATAAGTGATCTCACGAGCTGATGTGCCGCATCGTATGTCAACATGGGTCTTATCTGACTGATATTTCGAATGTGGAAGTAGCAACTTTTGCAGATATTGTTTACTTGACAATCCATGGTCAGGTTTTGGTCAATGATGACTCCGAGGTCTTTAACAGTCAAAGAAAAGGGGATATCAACTCCATCAACAGACAAGAATGATTCGGATATTGATGCAACAGATCGGCTACTCCCATTGAGTATGACCTCGGTCTTATCAGGGTTGAGCTTCAGACGATTCTGTGTCATCCATGTCTGGATCGCAGATGTGCACATTCGCAATTCTGCTATCACCTGTGCTGAGTCACCAGGTGTGAAGACTTTCATGAGCTGATTATCATCAGCATAACCATGACGACTAGTGTCAAACGTGTCTGTAACTTTGCCTAACTGAGAAATATAAATCACAAACAACAGAGGTCCCAATACAGAACCCTGGGGAACTCCACAACAAAGGATTGCATCTTCAGATGACATGCCATCAATCGAAACAGCCTGCTTTCTGTTACACAAGTATGATGTAAACCAAGCAAGTGCAACATCTGTTATACCAAGATTAGACTCAAGACGACGTAGTAGCCTGCTGTGGTCTATGGTGTCAATATATCAGTTTTCTATTCTGTATTACGTTGCATGGGGAGTGCATATGTTCCAGACAATTTCCTTTTGAATGGAATCCATTTTGTTCTCCAGCTAAAATGTCATTGTGCTCAAGCCATACTTGGAACCTTCAGTTAAAAATGCCACTGAATAATATCCATGGAATGAGGATCATGCTGAGACCTCAATATCCCGGAGGGTCACGTAGGTCACAGCCTGCTTTAGGTAGAGGTAGAGTCCATGCTTCCATGCAGCAGGTGTGACCGAGTTCTCAAAACAATATTGGACGATTTGATGTAATAGTTTACTGCAGGTTTGGTTTTGTA